TACCTAGTCTTCATGATTAAAACAATGAGCTTATTGATAATAAATTATATCCATATTAGAAATACGTCAAAAATTTGAATTGGACCGATAAGGACACGACATTAAAAAAACGCGCAGTGGCGTTCTGGGTAACTTAATACACAACAGGGTCGAGGAAAGAATAAAAAAAAGAAAAGAAAACCTCTTCAAATGAAGACATTGGCAACTCAAAGCCTAACAACTTGCTTGGATATATTAACGTCAAGCATCAGAATTTCCAAAAAAATTTGAATGAGAAATATTCCATCCATGTTATGAATAACAAATAAATCGCTATATTGATCCTTCTATTCTCGCACACGCTAAAGAAAAATAGTTAGAAATATTTAAAAATAAATAAATCGAAACGATATTCAAGTAAAGGTAAATAGAAACTATTAAACCTACAACAGACTTTAGTATTAAGTTGGTTAATGTCTTTTTATAATTAAAATAAATTGTTGTACCTAAATAAAAACTTCTACATTTAAATAATATTCAGCGGCACACGGATTAACAAACCGTAATGGAAACAATGATGAGACAGCTAATCTATGTACAATGTTATTTGTCATATTATATTTCGGTTTGTTAAATCATTACATTCGTACAAATTACATTTTTTATGATTACTGCCAAGAGTATATGAGTATTAATATTAATAACAAATAAATTAAAAAACTAAGCCTTTTTAAACGTACTTCTTTTATGGCGATTGGCAAGTATTTATAAATATTATTTATTGTTATAAGACACAATTTTTAATATTTAATTCATATTTCAAATAACAATACAATGTTTTATCCTAATATGAGCTATAGCCTAATAGTTTTAGGAAAAATCGTTTTAAACTTAAATGAGAGGGTATATAAACTATTTCAACCTAACAGATCATAGTATTCCATCGGATAATGTGTTAAAATAAATTTTTGTAAATAAAAAACATTTAAATTTAAATAATATTTTTTGGCGCCCTACTGTGATGGGAGCAATGATGAGACAGATAATCTATGTCTAATATTACTTGTCTTATTCTATTCACGTTTGTTAATAATTGTCATTCTTACAAATTATGTTTTTATAATTCTTGCACATTATATATATTAATACTAATAAAATAAAAAAATAAATTATTATTTATTTTTCTTTTTATTAGAGTAAACAGCCGAAATTTAGGAGCCGATTAAAAGTGAAATAAACTCACTAGTGACAATTACTTATCTACTTACTCCCAGGAATAACGGTACGTCGTTTTTATTTTGAATAACAACTTTAATTATAACAAAATTGATCAAATTTATGTTTTTAAGCTTCAACTTAATTTTATTATATTTAATCCATTAAATAACCTTATTTTACTTAAAATAACTAAGTATTCTTTGTTATGTAAATAATATTTTTCCATTACTTAAATACATTTTTCTCCTTTCTTTATTTAGTTAAATTATTAATATTCTAAATTTATAAATTAAATTTCAATTTATTTGAATTGGTATTTATTTTTTATTATTAAATATATTTTTGTGTTTTACCTGCATGAGTAATCTCTAGATCCCTTTTCATTTTTTCTTTTGTTATTAAAGTATTCGTTTTTATTAACAATTTAAATATAATGTTGTTAATACATTTATTTATGTTTTTTCAGTACATAAATAATGTTTAAAATTATGACATAATTTATATATTTCCCGGTCATCAGGCACAAGGAAACTTTTTTTACTTACTTCTTTCATCGCGACTGAAAAATATTTAAAAATATGATTTTGATGTTGTAAAATGTAGTATATTTTCAATATTTAATTTATATTTCAAATAAAAATATATTGTTATATTTGTAGATAGTTATATTCTAGCATGCACTATAGAGTAATAATTTTAGTAAAAATCGTTTTGAAACTTAAATGAGGGGTTATAAAAACTTTTTCAACTTTAACAGACCTTAGTATTTCATCGGTTAATACTTTTCATAATTAAAATAAATTGTTGTAAATACAAAACATTTAAATTATTAATACTCTAAATTTATAAATTTAATAGTATTAGTAATTTTTTTATCATTATTTAATTTTTTGTTTTTTGTTTCGTCTGCGTGAGTAGTCTCTAGATTTCTGAATAAAAATTTTTTTATCATTATTTAATTTTTGGTTTTTCGTTTCGTCTGCATAAGTAGTCTCTAGATTTCTAAATACACCTTCTAATTTTTTCTTTTGTCATTAAAGCATTCATTTTTTGTTATAATGTAAAGTATAATGTTCTTAATAATATTTCTTATGTTTTTTTTAGTACATAAATAATGTTTAAAATTATAATATAAATTATATTTCCATCGGCTTTCAGGCATCAGGAAACTAAACCTGTTTTAACGTACTTCTTTTATCGCGATTGCGAAGTATTTATAAATATAAATTATTGTTATAAGACACAATTTTTAATATTTAATTCATATTTCAAATAACAATACATTGTTATATCCTAATATGCACTATAGCCTAATAGTTTTAGTAAAAATCGTTTTAAACTTAAATGAGATTGTATATAAACTATTACAACCTTAACAGACCACAGTATTCCAACGATTAATGCGTTAAAATATTTTTTTGTAAATAAAAAACATTTAAATTTAAATAATATATTTTGGCGCCATACTGCGATGGGAGCAACGATGAGACAGATAATCTATGTCTAATATTACTTGTATTATTTAATTCACGTTTGTTAATTATTGTCATTCTTACAAATTATGTTTTTTATAATTCCTGCCCATTGTATATATTAATACTAATAAAATAAAAAAATAAATTATTATTTATTTTTCTTTAATGATTAAAGTATAATTAATTATTGAAATATTGTATTTGTTCTTTTTATTAGAGTAAACAGCCGAAATCTAGAAGCCGATCCAGAGTAAAACAAACTTACGAGTGACAATCACTTATCTACTTACTCCCAGGAATAGCGGTAAGTCGTTTTTATTTTGAATAACAACTATAATTATAACAAAATTGATTAAATTTATGTTTTTAAGCTTCAACTTAATTTTTTTATATTTAATCCATTAAATAACCTTATTTTACTTAAAATAATTAAGTATTCTCCGTTGTGTAAATAATATTTTTCTATTGCATAAATCAATTTTTCTCCTTTCTATATTTAGTTAAATTATTAATATTCTAAATTTATAAATTAAATTTCAATTTATTTGAATTGGTATTTGTTTTTTATTATTAAATATATTTTTGTGTTTTAACTGCATGAGTAATCTCTAGACCCCTTTACATTTTTTCTTTTGTTATTAAAGTATTCATTTTTATTAACAATTTAAATATAATGTTGTTAATACATTTATTTATATTTTTTCAGTACATAATAATGTTTAAAATTATGACATAATTTATATATTCCCCGGCCGCGTATTACCAAACTGGCTAGAGCGGAGGTTCCCAACTTTTTTTGACTCACGACACCCTTTATTATTTTTTAAAAATTTGGAGGCACCCTATAGCCAATGCTTTATACTCTATAGTTTATACTGAATACACAATACTAATATATCAAAAGTCTGTCAAACTTTTTTCATGTTACCAATTTTTCTCTCTTTTTATAACAATTTTCACATTTTTTTTTCAAATTTTCATAATTTTTACATTTTTTTTCTATGTAGAAATTTTATATTTTTATGATGTTAAAATTAGTGTCTTATTAAATACATTGTTATTTAATGATTTGTCATGTTTTGGTTATTTCTTTCTTCACAGGGTTTTTTTTCTTTAAATCTCTAAATTTTTCATTTAAAATGCTATTACAGTATCAAGTATGATCTGATTTAATATTTAATTTAACTGACATCTATTGTACAACTAATTGCATAATTATTTTAGGTACCTAACTAAAAACTGTATTACGTTTTATCAATAAGAAAAAGTTGTTGTTTATACTTAAGTATTTGAACCAGCTGTGGAACTAAATTAAAAGTCGATTCACATTATACGAAAGGTCAAAGTCACGTCAAAATATCTTACCATGCAGTGGTGTGCAAAATTAAGAGCAAATAAATGGAGCCTAGATCCCATTTGAAAATTACTATTTCACAAGCATACTTACTAACATAACTCTAGAAAAAGTCTACGGCTGTCGTGTTTGCTAAAACAGTGGACCAAATATTTTCAACGAATCTCTTAATAAACGTATATCATTTTCACTTGGAATGGGTGGTGTTAAAAAATTAGTTTCCCCCCCCCCTCTCCAAATGAATATAGGATTGTGCACGCCACTGTTATTATGTATTTAATGTTATTTATGTGTTCAAGTAAAGCGATAGCGAACGTTTAATTTCGACAAGTCGATGTCGGTTTGTTCTTGTCCATTTAGATAGTGTGTGACCGGAAGGGACGTTCTAATCGATGTCATCATAAAATATAAAACATAAAACCAAATAAAACACTATAAGTCATTTTATTTAAAATGTGTTTATTTAAATATATCCTAATATACCACAAATATATGATATAGGTTGGTTCTAAAAATAAATTCTAATAATTTGCGAGACTTGCCTTCAAACTCCAAATATTGATAAAAATTATAATATTACAAGAATGTCTGAAAACAATATCTAAATATAAATGTCAGCGTGCACTGTGCACAGTATACTTAAATCATAACATTTATTAAATTTATTTATAAAATCTAATTAACCATCACTAGGACATCTTATATATAAATGTATACATTCCCTGGGAATTTATTAATGTATTTTATACTATTTTTGGGATCTAAATTCTGTCCTACTGTGCGTTGATGCGAATATGTGATCATATTATCACAATGACGTTGCGATGGAAACATACTAAAAACGTCAAAAGTCAAAATCAAAATTATATATTTTTATTGATCTCTGGCCGACGGGGCGGTAGCGAATTATCATAATTTATCAGGCAGACATTCAGGCTGCAGGCTAACAATTTGGACATATGCGATGACAATTTTTTCATTTAGTTATCTGAGAAGGTGGGAAATATAATCATGATATAATATATATTGTGTTTTTATTAATCTATCGTTCTTTATATAATTTTGATTTATGAGTTAGTGTTAGAATTAAGATGTTATCCGGTCTTGAAACTTTTTGATGACAACTCCAGTTATAAGTGACTAATACATGGTTAGTCTAGGATGAGGTTCCAGAAAAATATTATTTTAATTTTTCTCTTAAAGTTGCATAAAACAAATAGTACAATTTTCAAGCGTACATCATATCTAACATCTCATACAAAGACAAATAAGAATGAACAGTTCAATTTTCAAAAAAAACATCTCGTCGTATCATGTTTTATTTAAAATAATCAAACGTACGTCCTATTGTTTGTCCAGCATTATAAAATAAGAATAGGACTTAAAATTATTATTATAAAAGGCAAACAATTCGGAAATAACTGTCAGAGGTTTTAGGTATGCGCAATGTTAACAACGATTAATTTTGAATCAATTGTATAGGGTGAACATAAGGTATCTTTGGGGCATGGGCAATTTAGTGATATTATTTGTAAACGTATTATGCAATTCCATACTACACAGTTGATTTGAAAATTAAATTGATCCTTAGAATGACCATGTTTATAAGGAAAAATGTCATTTTCGAGTCAATTGTATAAAATAGGGAATTACATTACACCTTTCAACAAATAGTATCGCAAAGTTGTCTGTGCCGCGAAGGTACTTTATGTTCAGTACTCTATGTGAACTACAACACATTTTGAATTATAATTATGACGAAAATCGATTCATAATTAACCGTTGATACCTAGTTTATCAACGCACATACTTAAAACCTCTACAACAGGGATTCCCAATTTGTTTGTCTTGAATTATAATAATAATTTTAAACGGTTATCTTTCTTTATAGTTCTAGAAAAGCAAAATAGGATGTAAGCTTTATTATTTTCTAATAAATCAACTATAAATGTAATGTTATACGATGAAATACAATTTTTTTTTAAAATTGAACTACCTATTCCATTTAGTCTTTGCCAAAGATGTTAGACGTTACGAGATATATTGACGTTTTTCGAACAAAATAAGAACGAGTAAAATATAACAAGAA